ACTCTCCATAGACGTAATGATTTTTATACTGTACAAACTGTATATTCTATCCCCTACACCATCACAGAAAACTTTCTGCATTAAAAAAAAAGAAAGAAAAAAAGACATAACTTAGTATGAGTTATAAGCTGTTTTCCTCATAGGGACCAAAAATGCCGCCACAAGGACAAGTATTGTGGATATTTTTTCCCTATAATTAAAATTTCTGACATTCTTTCCCAATAATTTAAATTTAATTTGAGAAAAACTAATAAAGTTGGCTGTAACAAATGAGAGCATTTCTTTTTTAAATTTGGTCCAATGTATCATTTTTTCAGTGTAGTTTTGTTTACAAAATCAAACCTACAGTACTATAAACGTAGGGATTCATATCTTAAATTTAAGGTATGCCAACTGTTGGTTTGTAACATGTTCATGTTGTAACTCAGCAGCATGTCTTGACCTGCAGCTCTCCCGAAAGCTTGAGATGTGGAGACATGCAGAAACTTGCTCAGATATCTAAGTGTTGGGTCTCTGGCATGGGATAGGCTTTCATTCAATTTTTTTTGGGATGTAAATTATTAGAGGATTTTCTATACGTCTTGTTTCTATCCTTTTTTCATGTTTGTAAAGTGAAATTGTTAACTTTTGTTTCTACTATTTTGAAGCAGTTTGATAGAGCAGGAGCACATTGTATTAACGATCAGTGACTTTCTGTTCAGGGTGGCGGCTGTCGGTTCTTGAGGTACAACTGCTCCGTTACAGCTCCCAGGAAAGGCTGGGCACTCATGCACCCTGGACGCCTCACTCACTACCACGAGGGTCTGCCCACCTTAGAGGGGGTCAGATACATCTCTGTCTCATTTGTGGATCCTTGAACTTCTTTTTGTTGGAAACTTGAATTTGCTTACATTTCAGAAGACTCTGAGTGCATAGTCCAACTGGAGGCTAGAAAAATAATCAACAAGAACATTTTGACACAGTGCCTTACATTGTGAATATGTCAGTGTATATATATATTTCCACATTTTTTGTTACACAAAGGCATCTTTTGATAATGATCGATGAATGTTGAAAGCAGTTTGACATCACTATGCAATATGTCATTTATATGCAATGGCATTTTACTCATTTATTTATTGTCATTTATTGAAGGGTTTATTCCAAATAGATGATGTGGATTTCAATAATGTATCTGTCCTTGCTTTGACATTCACAAGAGTTGTTTTCATTATTGATGTCCTTCAAGCAATCGGTGCTGCTGTTTGAAAATAATCAGACACATGGTTAAGTTTCTTACTGCTTAGTGTTGCTTGTTCTTGTCTTGTTTATGAATCAGTCATGCCATGAATTTTGGAAGAAAACAATAAAAAAGAGAAAATTCCATAATGGTTATGCCCACCCCCTATGAAAATTCTGTCATAATTTTTCTCATGCTCTTCTCTCATTTCACAAGGAACGCTCATCTGAAAATAAGAAACTATTAACTCTATTATCAAAAATGTAATCCTTCCCATATTACCTACATTTTCCCAAACATTTTTTAAGTAAACACTGAGTTCACTTTCTTGGGCGCTTCTAGAAAATGCGTTTACCCTAGTCACGTGAGACCGGTGACTTTTCACTTCGCTGGTGAGGATGGACCAATCACAGTTGTTTTGATGACTGGATTTTTAAACTATGAATATATTATTAATATTAAAGTATTTAAAGTGGATTTGTGTTTGTATGTCATATACAAAACATTTCAGTGAATAAAATCGGAATGTGCCTATATGGGGAGGCTGCAGACCTGGAGCCGGCAGATATACGCCCCTGACAGTTTTACGCCCCGGCAGTTTTAGGACCCTGTTGTTCCTGATGCGTGGATATACTGCGAAATAACATAATTAAATCGACGCTTAATAACCCGTCCATAGACTTGACAATTTTGTGTTTTTTGTTAATTTAAATATAAACGTTATAGTGTAGATCTGCACGGATTAAATTTTCTGTTTCACAAAAAAACAAGGGGGGTAAACGGACATCAAAAGAGATTGAATTAGGGTACACAAATCAATGCAATATTACATTTTGTCAATATAAAAACATGTAAGGTTCTTTACAACAGACTCAATGATATTATTTGTTTTATAAACCTTTGAGTTTAAAGGTTCTGACATTTTCTTAAAGGAAGAAAAAAATGAACTTTATATCAGAGGAGAATATTCTAGAATCAGGATTACTTTGAATGGTTCTGTCTTTATGAAGATGAAACTTGCCCAGAAGACAAAGTAATAATACCGTATAATCAAGTTTAACATCGTTAGAATTAAAATCTGACAAAAATAGATTCTGTCATTTGTATGTTAAATAATCTGCTAAAGTTATTGTTTTTTTAGCAATGATGCAACATTTATTATTTATAAACGATTAGCTCGATAGAGCTAGGGTAGGTAGATATCAATTCATTTATATATCAATGGATGGGTCTATAATGTATTTTGACAGGTTTCTGTTCTATCTGGCTTAAACTTAGCTAACCACGTGTAGGTTTAGCTTCCCCTATCTTCTCTACTCAATTTAAAATTAATTTTAATTTTAATTTTCTTTTGTTGCCTGTCTTTAGCTTGGCCTCTTCTGGTAAGACTCTGTTTACTCCTTGCATTAAAACATACTCCACATGGTTTATAGAGCAATATTACAGTAGATAATGGAAATATGTGAATTTTTTTTACAGTCTATGGTGTGAACACACAAAAGACACATTTATAATAGGTATGTAAATCTCTCTCTCTCTCTCTCTCTAAGTAAAGAGTTAAACTGCACACTCACTCAAATACGTTAAAACACATTAAAACCTTTCCCCATATGGTTTGAATTCTGGTTTGAGTTGTTTCTTATAAATGAGATGATCTAATTATCTCATTTATATCTTAATATACATTTTTTCTTAAAATAGCTTACTGATCTGGACTCAAATGTAGGGTATGTGCACTTAATGTGGGTTTTATCATACTCTGTCTTTACCAAGTTCTCTTTAACTTGGATCTCATAAAGGTGTGTTTGCTTTAGCTACTTAAAGAAACACACACACACACACAGGTACAAGGTCAAATTCACCATGGATGTCCTTTTTAACTTTTTTAATGTTTCATTTTTTAATGTTTCATCAGTGAGCAGGAGCAGTTAAAGAAAAAAAACAGTTAAAGAAGAGTGGCAAACCATAGGGGAGTCATCATAATTCATAAATGGTGTTAATAAATATTTTTTTGTGAACAACAATATTGTCTATATCTTCTATATGGCCCATGGAATTTTAGAAAAGGGATAAATTGTGTTTGTCTTCATAAAATGCTGTGTAGGACACTGTTTTGTAGCTGTATGATGACCAATAGAATAGTACAGCAGATATTTCATCGAGGATCCATATTATTACACGGTACTGTCTGCATGTCTAATGGGCTAAATATGGTTAATATCTAAATGTGACTTTATATAAATTCACAAAAACATATTTCACTCAGTCTCCTGTATATAAAAACCTACGGTGAATTGGCCTATAACTGCAGTAGGTCATAGCATCACCTGTCATAACAAATAGTTAATCCAAATATGTGTATTTTTAATTTTTCATTTCACAAAAACAAATAGTCTTCTGTAGGTTGAGTGAAGAGAGTGAAGCCCAACTGAATATCTACAGAAAATTTAATCCGTGGAGATCTACACTGTTACGTTTATATTTAAATTAACAAAAAACACAAAATTGTCAAGTCTATGGACGGGTTATTAATGTGTAAGCGTCGATTTAATTATGTTATTTCGCAGTATATCCCTCTACTGGACGCATCAGGAACAACAGGGTCCTAAAACTGTCGGGCGTAAAACTGCCAAGGGCGTATATCTGCCGGCTCCAGGTCTGCAGCCTCCCCCTACTCGAATGTGCCTCCATGAAGGATTGGTTTTTATGTGCCGCTGAGCGCCCCCGTGCGGAAGGAAAATACGTTTGTCAAATGAAAACCGTCGCACGGTAATGACGTAAGACGTTTAACCGACGTTAGAAGATAATGGCGACCAAGCAGAGCTGCTAGATAAGGAATTCATTATTAAAACGCATATTTATCTTTAACGTCAAGCTAAAACCACATAATGTTGATGTCAAATATATGCATCAGCTTTTTTGTCAAGATAGTTATTTAGCAGCGTTGATTTGGGGGTCAATAGTCTGATGAGCCGTAAACTAACGTTACATTCATTTCGTTTATTACTGATCTTGTTTCAGTTTCGTTCAGTCTGTAGTGTATCAACAGCAGTCTTTGGGAAAGCACTTCCAGTAGAGGATTTTTGAGATTATTACGAGGACATCGCTGGATCAACATGCTTGAGGACTGTTGACTAAAGATATAATCACTTCGCCCTTGCTGGTAAGCATATTTGATTAGAAAATAATACATTTTATTATGTACCACGGCTCATACAATGGTGAATATAGCAACTGTTGGTATTGCATGTCAGGTTTATAATTTAACCATGTCTCCTTCCGTTTCTTAGGAATATTATAATGTTTTAGACACGTATAGAGACTATATATATATATATATATATATATATATATATATATATATATATATATATTAGAAATATAATTAAAATAGACAAATATCATAGAAAAATTCACATTTGTCTCTAATATGACAGCCAGTCTCCATGGCATTAAACCGCAAGCAAGAGTCAAGAGGAGGCGGACCGGCTCGCCCTTTCTCAACCAATAGGAATCATTTCCCCTGTCAATCATTTTGCACGTTCCGAATTGCTCACATGGGATTGGCTGACAGATATATGGGGGCGGGGTTTTGTACTGAGGGGTTTGTGGTTTATGCGGTGGTTAGAGTTGAAATCGCTATATTTTATTATATTAATACTAATATATATATATATATATAATATAATAATAATAATATAGTTTATTATATATTTTACACATTCAGGCTTGTTGAATCAGTCCATGTAAAATTCATCACGTGATTATTACGGCACTTGGTCTGGTGGAGGAGTGGATTGAAGTCGCGAGCTGCTGTATTTTCACATTGAGCTCGTGAAAATACTCTTCATTGGAACTATGACTCGAATATCAGTCTTTCTGAACCTGTAAGAGCTGAACTGAAGACACGGAAGGTGCTGCGGGTGTTTGTTTCGGGATATTTCACGTGCTTTAGACACATTTAACCCGTGCTGATTTCAGACTCGTGGAGGAGTGGATTGGAGTCGCGCGCTGCTGTCAGTGACATTGGTCTCGTGAAAGTCGTGACTCTGATATCATTTTATGTTATGGCTTCTAAAAGGATCATTGCATTTATCAAGACTGCTATTTGGCTTTAAACAAGCGAACAGCGTAGGTGATCGGTCACTGCAAGAGCAAATGCTGGTGAGCTGATACAGCTTATTTGATCGTCACTGTTTTATATAAACTCTTACACGCACTGTCAGGTAAGACTGTGTTATTATATTAGTAGTAAGTAACTTATGTTTTTATTCTTGTTTTAGCAATTGTGGCCTGGTGAAATGTGTGTGTTTTCTAAACATGTTTACCATGTTCAGCTGAACAAATCTCTCAATCAGTTCATCATTACCAGCAGTATCCAAATTATGTTAGTAACTTGGACAATGTGTAAATGAATGGATATTGTTTGAACGTTTGAGAATTTCAACGTGAGTGTGCACTTGTAAGAATGATTGCACAATCTAAAGGGAGTGTTTCCTCTGCTTATCAAGATGTCGATAAAGGACATATTGTGTGACATGCATAGATCTTTAGTATACGAACACTATCTGTAGTAGTAGTTATAGAGTTTTGGCAGATACTGTTGTTGCCATAGTAGTTCAATTATTTATAAGGAACAGCCCTTGTTTAATAAGGTGTGCTGGCCTAGTTTTAATTCAAGCAAATCCTTTCATTTGTGCATATTGCACAGTTTTAATTTTTGGGTAGTTGGCATGATATTACAAACAATGTCTTTTAGAATGACATGCCATACCTATTTTAAAACAATTTGTCTGTCATGTCTGTCTGTAACATAACCAATCTGGACTGCACAAATAGAATGCTGTTTTCTACACACAGCAGACAGTGTCCAGATTACTGGCATGTGGTGGAGGTTTGCTGGTAGTTAGATCAGGTAAAGTCAACTTCTGATGACTGCTTACCTTATTGTAAGTGCAGACAGCTGGACGCTTTACTGATATTACATTTGTCTTCTTCGTCTGTTCATTGAAGGTGACTTTCCAGAGCACACGAACGCTCCATGTTTCACGTATTTGCCAACTGCAGGTCCAGACTCTTTAATACGACACCGCTCAGTTGTTCAGAAGAACCCTGGCATTACCAGCACTGAATGTTAATAGTGTACAGCTGAGGCTATGCTCAGGAACTGATGGCCAAATGTGGCTTGTTTTGAGGAAGTAATGTGGTCTCAATGGCTTAAGATTTTGCGGAATACAAGAAGACCTAACTAATTTTTTTTGTATGGTTTTTTATTTTTATATTTAAGTATTACAGTAATGTTGCCTCTGGCCTATCTCTTAAAGCTGCTGTCCGTAGCTTTTTTGGGGTTAAAAATTATCCAAAATATTTGAGAAAATACATAACCAGCCAGTGTTCAAAACTATCTGCTTGCCGTAGCTCGATTCAAAGCGATAAGCTTGTAATAATGTTTTTAATTCCAGTGGTACTGGTGGATTTCCGCGGGAGATTCGAGCATGTCTTTGAGTCATTACGTCACATCTGTACACATAAAGAAGGAGTCTCGGCTAGTAGGCTATGTTGCGTGTGAGGATGCTGGAGGTGGAGATTTAGGGTGTATTCACACCAGGAAAGTCCGATAGTTCACTTGCTTTGGTCCGGACCAAATAAATTTTTTTTTTTTTTTTGGTACGGTTCGCTTTCACACTGCTCTTTTTGCAAGTGAACCAAAATTTGTCAACAAAACCACACGTGTGCTAAGGTCGTCCATTTATTGGACAAGGATTCTCAAGTAGGGAAATCAGGAAGTGCAAAAAAAGGCTCAGCATGGAGATATTTCGTACTGCAATATTTGTTATTTTACTAATTTTTAGGGGTGTAACGATACCCTCATGTCACGATTCGATACATATCACAATACTGAACTCACGATTGAGTTATTCCAAGACATATGATAAAAGGTTAACAAAAAACGTATCCACGATACGTATTGTCACTATCCACGATACGTATTGTTGCATTTTTGTATTGCGATATATTGTGGCTAGGGCTGGGCGATATGGCTGAAAACTGTATCACGATATCAGTGTTTCATATCGGTCGATATCGATAATTATTGATTTTTTTATGACCCATTTAAAATAAGGACCAGGAGAAAAAATATATTACATTTAAACATTTTTATTTTAAACTTACCCTTCCTCTGATTACAATCCCAAGACAGAAATGTCAACACAACCATGGAAAACTCAAATAATTAGAATGTAAACATAAGTCTAAATTCACAATCAGACCTGCAAACTCCTCAGAGTAAAAAAGGTGACAGTGGCGCGGCGGGACGGGGGTGGTGGGGGTTGTGATCGTACGTGCCCCCTGCTTGATTTCTTTTTTGAGACATCACGGTTCGGTACGATTTCGGTACAATGGAGTAAAAAGCAAAACAGAAATATATTAGGCATTTTTATAAATGTCTTAAGCCTTGTATTTTTTAAATAAGTTTTATTAATAAAGGCATAGAACCTGTTTATTTATAGTGCACTGATAATAGTTTTATGTAATTGGTTTATTAATTAAACTAATAAAAAGATAGATATGAGATATGTTTGGTAATTGTACCTGAATGAATTTAAAATTAATTTGCTATATTTCAGATCAATATATTTGTTTTCCTTAATTTTAATTAACCCTAACTTTATTCTCATCAGAATTATAAATAATTGATTTCCGTATAAAATAATCTACCAACATATTTCACTTTCTTTTTAATCAATGTGTAACTTAAAAATAAACAGATTAGTGCTCTGTTTTGAGGACAAGAAATAAAAACCAATGCGATATGATGAATGTCCAAAAGATGGAACACACAGACTGTTTTAAAAAGGGTTGGATAAATATGTTTTGCTTTTAAAACGGTGTGTGACAGTTGTAGGTTACAGTTTGACAAGAAATACAGTGTGACAAAAGCACAATGTTGTGTTTTATTGCGAGTATAGGCCTACACAAATATAAGTAAACACTTTGCAGGCTGAATGATGTCCTGTATTAACAAAATGACGGAGTATGTTTTTATGTCTCCACTGTTCGATCGCGCCCGCGTGTCTCTCTCTCTCTCTCTCGCGCGCGCGGAGTCGGACACACACACACACACACACTCCAGCATTGAAATCTTGACATCGCAGCCTGTTCATTATGCTGTGTTCACATCAAACGCGAATAGAGCGAATTATCCAATAATGTTTCGCAACTCTAGCCTGCATGGCATGCAGATGAAGGGCACTCATTTTCTGCGTATCAATCGCCGGTTACTGAAGAGGAACCCAGCAGCACGAGACAACGATGGCGCAACAAAACTGACACGTTACATGATTGCCTGAGCGTGTCACTCCCTACGTTGCTAGGTTACCAGAGAGCGCGTGCCTTTGATAATGCAACCAAACTTGCTTCGCAACCTGTGGTTTCTTCCGACGAAGAAAAAAAATATCGAACGTTTTATCGAACACATTTTTTATTGATATCGATCACGTGTCTATCGCGATACATATCGTTATCGTTTTATCGCCCAGCCCTAATTGTGGCACGATATATTGTTACACTAATTTTGTGTTATTCTGTACAAATGCAATATGAAGAAACTGCGCAGAAGACGGATAAGGTATAAAGTTTTCATTCATAGAGAGGGGCTATGGTCAAACATTCAAATAATGAGATTCTTATTGTATATACTGCTAACAAGTGCTGTCAATGTTAACGCTTGCGATTAAGTTTGTTCACACCGTAAACGAACGGTACCAGAGTTCGTTTGGAACCGTACCGAGACCACCTCTTCAGCTGGGTTTCGGTTCGGTTGTTTGGTCCGCACCCGAGTTCGATTGCTGTATTCACACCTGCCCAAAAGGTCCGCACCAAGGGGGGAAACGAACTAGAGTTCGATTCAATCGAACCACACAAGGCAGGTGTGAATACACCCTTATAGCCTTTTCTCACAGCACTTGATATAATTAAACTTATCAATTTGAAGGCGGATCCAGAAAGGTTCAAACGACAATCACCAGTGACAACAGATTCACCCGCTGTAAAATGCAAAACTTTGTTCGGACTTCGGAGTGGCTAACGTTACAGAAAAAAAGAGACTGCAACCGGACCCATGCGAAAACAAGGATACATATCGGAAGGACATTACATGTAGTCACGCAATGCTTGCTTACGTTGTTAACATTAACAATTTGAGAACAAAGGATAATTTGCACGGTTTTGCGTGATATGATAACTTATAAGCGATTGTTAGATTTAATCAGCGCGATTTGCTGCAATGTCAGAACCAGAACAAAGGTGGATGTTTCTTACTTGTTCAGGTGACATTTTCCGGTGAAAATTCTTATGTTGGTCATACTTCCAAAAAGAATAATCTGTGATTCTGAATGCCAGTATCCACATCGGCACGGTGACTGACAGCTAGGGATGCACGATGATATCGGGACAACATCGGTATCGGCCGATAAAAGCTTAAAATGACCATCATCGGCATCGGCCGATATGAATATTTCTGCCGATGAGCCTTGCCGATAGGGTGGCGTGTTTCCTATGCGAAGCATGAACGAAGCATGATCGCCAGCAACTTAAACTTCCAACTAGGGGTGTGCGTCTAACGGTTTTTGATCGTGGACGATTAAAATGTCTACACGATCTGCTTTTGAAGAAAAATCATAGTATCGTGCATTCTATCAGTTCAATTCTGGCGCCTTCATCTCAACATACTGTACAACGCGACGTACATTCACATCACATCACATGTAAACGCAGAGGTAGAGTTACACTCACGGTCACGGGACACCGCAATTCACAAAAGTTCATTATTTGCATGTGCGTCAAAGTCTTGCTAGGTAAACATATCATTCATGCGCTGATGCGCTGTTCTAACATCCGCTTTTCTGAGCGCGTTACACCCGACGCTCACAGGAACGAAAAGCCTGTCACAGAGTCTGCATACTGGACTAATCTTTCGAGTCTTATTGCGCTGATACTGTCAAATACACACACGGTTTACATAAACAAAGTCGGTTATGTCTAAAGTGAAAGCAAACAGAGAAAATCTGCTTGTCAAATGCGTGTATATTAGACGCGTCGCGTCCCTCGCGTGCAGTTCTTAAAGAGACAGTATAATATGCTGCCGCTTGTCCTTAAAGAGATACTGCACCCAGAAATAAAAATTCTGTCATTATTTACTCACTCTAATGTTGTTCCAAACCCTGTATTCATTTCTTTCTTGTGCTTAAATATACTATGGAAGTCACTGAAGTACAGCAACTGTTTGGTTAGCCACATTCTTCCAAATAACTTTTATAATTTCAACAGAAGAAAGAAACTTGAGAGAGTAAATGATGACAATTTAAATTTTGGGGAGAACTATCTCGTTAATGTTAATAAAACAACAAAACACAAAGAGGAAATCACTCACTGCTCTTGACTGAGAACTTTAATAGAAGCTTTAATAAGCTTTTTTTGCACTTAAAAAAAACACACAAATATATCGGTATGGGGCAAAATTAGTCTGAAAATATCGGCATATCGAATATCGGCCAAAATCCTATATCGTGCATCCCTACTGACAGCCTCACAGTCTCCTCAAACATTGTGTTCATCCGTGCTGTGCCGTGTCGAGGGTGTTGAAGTACAACTCACGTAAAGTTGATAATTCCGCGAATGACTGCAATTGCAGATTTCGAACAGAGATGGTGACAAAGAGGAAAAACGCCAGACTGCAGCTTGAAATAAATATAAAAATGCAATTTGTAGCAATTTGTAGCATTTAATGATTAATGATCCTGAATAAAGTTTTACTGTGATGCTGTATGAGCTCCTTCTGCATCCATGAATAAAGAGAGAATAACATTTGTGGTAGACTGATATATTGGGTCGGTCTGGGCGATATGACAATATTATTGGATATCAACGATGTCTCGCAAGTATCACGATGTTGATTATAACAGTCAGTTTAGTTACCAGACGATCATTGGCAATATCAGGGAAAAAATGACAAATATCTTTCACATAGCCCTGTAGTTACTATACACATTTTTATTCATGTGCAATAGCATAAATTTAATATTTTTTATATAGTTGGTAGGGTTGAGATTGAAAATAGAAAATAGATTCCAATTCTGGAATTGGATACTTAACGTCAGGAATACTTGTAATAAAATTAAAATTTGAATTTTGATTATTGATTCCTGTGTGCGCAGTTTAATGTGATTTTAAACCATTCTTTAAGCGCAAGAAGAGTCAAAAGACAACTGAATTCTGTACTTCAGCACTGTTTTCTGTGCGGCAAGTACAGAGAAATCCCGTAAACACAGTTGGTTTTGTATAAGTGAACGTACGTAAACAGTTGAGAAAGAAAATGCGTGTAACAGCTGCCTATATTGGGTCCGAGCATTAATAGCAGCCTACTATTCTCGCTGCCACCTGTCATTACTGTTAATTTAAGAACAAAAGAAAAAAACCTCATTGATCTTGACTGAATTACTTTTGTAATTTTAATCAGCCTAATCTATATTTTATTTGCCTGTTGTTCAGAGCTGACTGCTGTAACTGCAACGTGTGTCAGTGTGTGCGACTATGCTTTGTAGATGCGTTCCCTGTAAACATCATTTATCCTTATTTTCTTATTTGTGTCAAATATTGTTTTTTGATTACACATCTTGATGTTTTTTTTTTATTCCCAATTTAACAGTGCTATTCTTTTCTATGTAATTTATTTAGTTGTGCAGATGAAAAAATGGAACTGTATCCTGTAGAAATTTGGAATAGGCAGTGATTTCTCCCATTTAAAAAAAAAATATGATCAAGTAGGCCTATTCTTTTATTTTGATCTGCAGTCTAAAAGTTTAACAGAATTAAATGTTAGCTGCCTAGCCTAGTTTTGTAGCAAACAGATGAAGAAATGATGGTGCTTTGAATATCTCATTCACGCACACGTTGGTAGTTTCCAATGTTGGTTGCTTCATTATACAGTTGCGTTATACTTTTGCTGTAGTCTAAAAACAAAACAAAAAAATAAAGATAAACTTTAAGTGTAGCCAAATGGAACAGGTTTACGGTGAATGTCTGCAGTTTTGTCTCCGGCAGGGTGGGGCTCAGGTAGACGATATAATTTGATATCCGATATTTTTTAAGGTGATTATCAATAGGATATTTTTTACATATCACTGATAAAGTACACAAAGTACAAACAAACTCATCTAGAAACTGTAGTAAGCACATTTAGAACAGCTTGGGCATAATGTGTTGTTGACACTCTGCTCTAAATTGGGCGACACAGCATTTCCCATCAACACATAGGACTTAAACAATAGCTCTGAGCAATGCAGTTAGACATGTAGTAGTTCTGAGTAGTTCTCAGGGAGTGTTGTGTTTGCATGTGACAGAGAGTGTATCCAAGTTTTTGTATTGCGTATTTTATGTGTTCATTTGCAAAATGTGTCTTGTGGGTGTATAATCCCTTTGTTTCACCTCTTTACAAGATTAAATGGTCAGAATGTGTGAACATTAAATCCTTCATCCCTTAATAAGGAATAGGAACAGCATTATATATGTTTAATGTTTCATTATTAAAGAGTTGAATGTCTTAATGCCACCAGAAGGTATTTAGATAAAGTTTTAAAGCAAAGACCCATAACACCTCATCATTCTGGCCACTTTTTCATTTTTTTTTCATTTGTCTTTTCTAGTGAGATGTCTTTGGTTTTCCCACGACCCAATACCAGTGTGATCGGCAAGAAGGACAAGCGACTGATGGCTGAGGTGAACGCCTCCCCGCTCAAACACTTCGTCACCGCCAAGAAGAAGATCAACGGCATCTTTGAACAGCTGGGGGCTTACATCAAAGAAAGCTCAGCCTTTCTGGAAGGTGTCTGCTTTCCTTTCCCTTGGCAATTCATTCCACTCCTTGTTTCAGGAACTCAAAAGCACACTGTTGCATGCTGTACATCTGTCAAGCTGATAAGAGAAACAGGTTTCATTCTGACTTAGATAAAAAAAAAAAAAGACAGGTTACGTAACAAACTGGGAGACGGCTGAAGGCTCAGGGAAAAGCATGGCTTAGTCATCACAGTCAGACCTCAGGTTATCTTCTTACAAATAATGACCCTAAAGTAACTTCTTACAAATCTACCCTGGCAGTTGTTTCAGTAGTGTGCCAAGCGTTTTACTGGAAGGATTTTGGAGGATTTTATATTAGGTTTATTTGAGGTCAGTCATAATTTAGTCAAAATTGCCAAAGCTTAAATAGATATAGCATAAATTGTTAAATAGATTTGGACGTGCAAGTAAAAAGGTATCTGTCCTACAGAGTTTTTCTACTTCACCACTATAAAGAATGAGAATATTCAATAATTAAATACAAGCGAAAGGATGAAACGTTTGTAATCCCCTGCAAAATGGAATAACTCATGGAATATTGTTAAATTCGCAGAAAATCGTGCGACCAGATCAGCTGACAAATGGCTTAAATCTATGGGATCATGTACCTCTCTCATTCCTCATGAAACCAAACGTTTCCATGGTTGCGAACTTGCGATGTAACATTTAATTGCTTACCTATTATTTATTTTGTAAACAAAGTTTTGAGCTTCTCTCATGCCGAAATAGTCATGTAAATTAGCATAACATACACAATAATGTTTTGCCGGTGGGGCTGAAAACCAGATCTATCCGTTACCCTGAGATGTTAACTTCATTATTTGTGTGCTGCTTGTTGAGGAGAAGTTTGCTATTGGTTTTCTTAGTGATCTGACATTTCATTTTTTTTAAACTGGAATTTCTTTTGATTGGTTTACATTGACGGAGGGACCCGAGCCATATCTAGAGACCAGGGGCTGGATTCACAATAATCTTCTTAAGAAAGAAGTTAAGAAATTTCTCAAGATAAATTCTAAGAAATTCATAAGAATGTTCTGTAAGGCTGGAAGCTTACGCTGCTATTTTGAACAAAAAGCAGTTGAAGAATGATGTGCATAATTCAGTTATTTATCTGACTCCAATGTAATTAATCTGACTGCATTAAAGTTGTTGTTATTCTTTAACCTCTTATTCTTTAAAAGTAAAGGTCTTTCTTGGAACTGATAGGAAAACGTAAGATTTAACCTGAACGTTTAGATAACGAAAGTTATAATCACTTTAGCTTTCAACATCATCAGTGATAAAAGGAAAGATTCTTAAAGCCTTTAAAGCAGGCACAGTTATTTATTAAGTTACATGTTTAAATATACAGACAGTAGAATGGAACAACATACTGTATAGAAAACAGTTGTAACAAATAATGCACTGCTGTGCAGAAGAGGCCGTAAAAGCCTTTCTTGTACTATGAGGTTACGCACCGGTGCACGGAAAGTGGCAGGGTTAAAGCCTTTCTCCCAGATCAACAGTTACCTTTCCTTCTTATACCCTCAGCAAAGCATTGTTAAACATGAGTGGAATACCAAAACCAACTGACAGGAAACCAAAAGATATGGCAAATGGGTGGTGATCAAGAGAGGGAGAAGTTCACCACCTTTCAGTTCAGTTTATAAGCTGTCAGATGAGACCAAACATAACATGGCATACTAGTTACATGTTAGAACACACTAGTAGATAAATAGTCTGTAGTGGAAAGCACATGTGTTTTGTGAAGCAAATGGTACAGATGTGTCATTGAGGTGCAATCGATTCTTGTCTCCCCAGAGACCATCCAGTGCCTGGAGAGTCTCAACAGTCCTCGATCCGCATATTGATGAATCCCTTGCATTAGATAGGCATTTGCATACTGTGATGATGAAGGCCATTGTATAATTCACATGTATACTTTTAAAAGGGATTTCTGAAGTACTAGGGCAGTAAAGAGTTCTACCCATATTCGCTCAGCCCTATAGTTCAATTCGTAAGAAACTGCAATTGTGTAAAAACAAAGGAGAGTTTTTTTTCTCAAGAAGAAAATAACGGGTTTTGGCGTTATCTGATTTTTCGAGCAGTAATGTCGTAATTGTAAAATTATAAACGAGGTCCCTATTTTTGTAGAGTTCTTTCTGAATTTCAAATTTAGCTAGCAAAACCATTATCTATCAATGGTGTCACTTCAATCAGAATACTTGTCCACTTATATAATATAATACATATAATTACTATACTAATACTAGGGATGTGCATGTGCATATGTAAGTAATGTTATGCTGTAATGCTTAATATTGAAAGAACTGGAGTTCTTTCCAGTTCTTTAAATATTCTTTAAACCAATGTTTAAACAATGTTCTTTAAACCAATAAATTACCTTTGGGGATTTAAGACAAGTTGGAGGCTATCCTAACTTTAAGAAGTTTTTTGCAAAGATTTTAAGGACATTATTTTCAGGAAATTTAATGAAAGTTTTGTCTGAAGAATGTTCTAAACGGTTTTCTTCTTAAAGTTCTAAAGGAATTTATTCTTAAGGTAAAAAACAAGAAGAAAATAGCAGTTTAGAGGAATTTATTCTTAAGAATATTTCACGAATCCTACTCCAGAATGTCATAGAGACTTTAGGGGGGACTCTTCTGGTGTGGGCCACGAATCCATACCTTTAATTGGCAACCATGACTCTTGACTATAAAGGCATTTCAAAGTTCTTAATGTTGGTGAAGTATTTAAAATATCAAGTGTAGTTGAACTGGTCTCTTTTCTATGTCAGAAACTTACAGCAATGAAGAACTGGATCCTGTTACCACAGAGGAGCAGGTGGCGGAGGTGCGGGGGTACCTGTCCAAAGTGGCAGGGATTGGGGAAGTCTTGTCCCGGAGACACATGAAGGTGGTCTTCTTCGGCAGGTACAGTGTATATATATTGCCCCTCACAGCATGAACACAAAGTTTGTGTCGTGTTCAGAGTAGCACTAAAGCTAGGGATGCAACGATACCGCTTTTTCAAAACCGATCCAATCCGATACCAAAATTCTGAGTATTGGCCGATACCGATACCAATCCGATACCAGTGCAGTTTTTTTTTATATCAAGTAAAATTTCTATAACTCTGTGTTTAACACACAAAAGAGTGATTATCAGTTCAACACACAATCTACTTAATACAGACAACTTAATTTTAAAGAAAAACAACAAATCCAAAAAATATATGATCATAATCTGTGACAAAAATGCTATTATAAACTAGATTAGTGGATAATTCAGCAGTAAAATTTAGTCTAGAAAAATCACGAGTGCACAATAATTGTATAAAATCTGAACATATAGTGAAAAAAAATTAGGGGAACAAATAAGAGACAATAAGTGTAACACTAAATCTGGTCAAACGTTACAAATTGCTCTTTGTATTGTTGTAAAATACATTCATGAAAAACAAGATAACAAAAATCAAAAAGATAAATTATTATATATAGCCTATATAGGCTACTATAAAATTGAGACATGTTTTAAATGTATAGCACAGCTGTTTAATGAGGCAGCAACATATGATAGATAGGACAGAACAAGAAAGGCTATTAATAATCTTTCATTGCGCAAAAGTAGTATGATATGATTATGAAAGACTCCAATACAGTGCGGCACACATCGCTTATGTGCTTGAAGCAACACGGAGTCACAGCGCGTCGAGTCCGCATTGAAAAGTTCAAAGCACAAAGGAAAGACATATCGATGCGTAGTGTATTGTACACAGTATCTATCTATGCAATCGTTTATTGAGCCTTTTCTTTTAACAGTTTAAAATTTTAGTTACTGTGCGTGTGAAGAACTATATAGTGCTCTGACTCTGCTTTAGTGTTGCGATCTAACAGACGCCCGGTAGAAAGTAGCATTATTTAGTTACAGCAATAAAGTCCAGCAATATAAAGTTGTTTTATGCGAAACCATAGACCTTTATCTACAGATCAAGTATAATAATAGTAACATTGAATCATCTTGGAGAGTTTCATCGTGTTGACTCTTGTACCCGAACGCGACGCGCTGTTTGAATGCTGAATGGAGAATGACTGACAGCCGTAGCGGAGGGAAACAGTTTACGTGGTCTTGAATTTAATGACTTAAATATTAATTTATATCTCACATTATACTAGCCTATACAATGGCTTCAGAACACTTAGAAGATAGTGCAAGAAAACTTTATGGTGCTTTATAATGTTTTTGTGCCTTTTGTGGGGCTAAACAATAACACAGAATAATATGCACAATATCGGATTTGGATCGGCCTCGTCTGACCGATACCCGATCCGGCAAAAATGGCAGTATCGGAGCCGATACCGATACTGAGTATCGGATCGAAGCATCCCTAACTAAAGCCCAAAGTATATTTGAATTTTTACGCGAACGCTGGTGTGTGCTCATAGGGCGCAGCCATTGGTTAGTACATTTTGCGCAGCCAGATTTTCTTATAGTGCGTACTCTGTATGCTCAGCTTGTATATATATTATGCCTTGAAATTTTTTGCGCTAATTAGTTTGTGGAGAAGGTGGCAACACTGCCCCGGTCAATGGTTTCACAGTCGAAAAATAAACAACAAAACAAACTACTGGAAACAACAATAGCTGTCCACATTGATGACCGCTTGTGTGAGGGAGTTAAGAGATACATGCAACTCTAGTGTAAACTAGTACAAAGACATTTTTTATTGGTGACAACATCAAACATGGCAAAATGAAACCGCGCTTCTCGTTTGAGCTGCACAGCGTGGACAGTTTATAAGCTCAGACCAATATTTGACAGCACAGCACGAGCTCAGAACATTAGAGTCTGTGGCTCAGAACAGGTTTACTCGATCCATTCTCGATCACAAGACACGTTACTACACAGCGGTGGGCGATCAATTGAGAAAGCGTTTGAATTTGGCGAAGTATTAATAACATCACTGCTAGATCTTGTGAGAAGCATTCAAGTTCAGTGCAGAATTCTTTTATAAACCATAGATATCAGATCTAGCAGCGCTGACATGGAAACCAGGAGAAACATTGTGCCATGAACGAAGTTATTGAAGGCTTTTCGTTTCACAAATCACCAACATTCACCATGGATTTAATATAGTAATGCTAACTGTAACCATGGTATTGTGGGAGAAATAGTCTAATGTCTTTACATTATTCTTTTCAGGGATCGTGCAACCTTTTGAGAGTGAAATTTAAGCACTTTTCAAGGACAAGCAAAAGTGCTTCACAATTTTTCCAGCACTTCAAAGCTCTAAATATTATCTAATTTAAATGTTATTTTTAATGTGATGACCAAAAGGTTTTACTTGTTACTGTTGTTAATACAAATTTATTTGATCTGCATCTCAACTCAAGCACAGTGCTTGACTGTCAAATGTGCATTTCCAAGAAATAAACATGTAATATTATTAGTTATTGCACTTATTAATGCAAAACAATAGTAATTTTATGATTAAAGCTGCAGTCCGTAGCTTTTCCTCTTTGTCGCCATCTCTCTGTTCGAAATCTGTAACTGCAGTGATTCGCGGAATTATCATCTTTACGTGGGTTGTAAATCGGCATGAAACAACGCGGATGAACACAGTGCTTTGAGGCGAGTGCTGCTGTCAGTCACCGCGCTGTGTGGATACTGTCATACAGAATCACAGATTCACTTTTTAAAAGTTTGACCAACATAAGAATTTTCATAAGAAAATGTCTTCTGAACAAGTAAGTAACATCCATTTTTGTTCTGACCAACTAAGGGGGGAAAAGCATTCGACATGATAAGCTTCGTTAGATTTAATCAACGCGATTTACAGCAACCGTGCAAATTATAGCCTACTTTGTTCTCAAATTGTTCATGTTAACAACATCAGCATTGCGTGACTAATGTTAAATTGAATGTGTTTTATGGTTACCTGTGTAGTTCAGAATTCATATTCTCCATAATAGCAAAACGAGAAAGGCACAACAAAGGAAACTCCATAACTGTGTGAATTAAGAAAACGTACTGTTACACGATTGAACTATTGAAATGTCTTACTTGAGCAGAAAAAGGCCGTCTCTTCTTCCGTTTTGAATCCCTTTCAAAACACGGAGTTCACGCACTTTTCAAAAGCCCCGCCGATGTGACGTAATGACGCAAAGACATGCTCGAATTTCCCGTGGAAACCCACCAGTACCACTGGAATTAAAATCATTATTACAAGCTAACCGTTTTGAATCTAGCTATGGCAAGCAGATAGTTTTGACCACTGGCAGAATAAGTTTTTTTTTATATAATTATTTTGGATTATTTTTAACTTAAAAAAGTTATGGACAGCAGCTTTAAATTACCTTTATGGTTAAAAATCCCCCCACTCCCCAGTGTTACTGCTTTCAAATGTTAGTCTGGAGCCCTGGGACTGTGCTGATGACTAAAATGGCTTCACACGGACTGGACGCAAGCCAGAGCGGAACGCGTACAAGAATGCTGTCAGCTTAAGTGTTCATGTCAAAACTGAATTACTTTGGGTTAAGTCACACCTTTTGCATTTACAGAACCAGTAACGGGAAGAGCTCCGTCATTAACGCCATGCTCTGGGACAAAGTGCTGCCATCTGGAATCGGACACACCACCAACTGCTTCTTACGGGTGGAAGGCACCGATGGCAATGAGGCTTTCCTGCTCACCGAAGGATCGGATGAAAGAAAGAGTGTTAAAGTAAAAACTTTTCCTTCTTATTGTCATAAAGCCATTCTTAAGTGATTTTGGAGCTCTTTTGTTTGAGTCTTTGGGTGTGTCTAACATGTTCAGTCAGATAAGACCCATGCAATGGGAGTGGGAATGGAAATTGGCCTCTTGCATAACATAGTGCATCTCTCCATAGCAACCATAAATAATAATAATAATTCATTACATTTATATAGCGCTTTTCTCGGCACTCAAAGCGCTTTACATGGAAGGAGGAATCTCCTCAACCACCACCAATGTGCAGCATTCACCTGGATCATACTGCGCCTGAACGCCCACCACATAAATAATAGCTCATAAATAAATGAGCTTTGCTCACTGGAGGTGTTAATGATGGTGTGTAATCTCTTCAGTCTGACAAGTGAGAAGACACCCTGTAGAGCTAAACTTGTGTTTCAGATTTCATGAACATTGAGACTAGAATTGTAACCATGTAGTGTTGCAATATTGACAAAGCCGAAACCGTATTCTGTAGGGATGCACGATATAGGATTTTGGCCGATATTCGATATGCCGATATTTTCAAACTAATTTTGCCCGATGCCGATACCGATATATTTGTATTTTTTTTTTAAGTGCAAAAAAAGCTTATTAAAGCTTCTATTAATGTTCTCAGTCAAGAGTAGTGAGTGATTTCCTCTGTGTTTTGTTGTTTTATTAACATTAACGGGATAGTTCTCCCAAAAATTTTAATTGTCATCATTTACTCTCTCAAGTTTCTTTCTTCTGTTGAAATTATAAAAGTTATTTGGAAGAATGTGGCTAACCAAACAGTTGCTGTACTCCAGTGACTTCCATAGTATATTTAAGCACAAGAAAGAAATGAATCCAGGTTTGAAACAACATTAGATAGACAGAATTTTTATTTCTGGGTGCAGTATCTCTTTAAAGACAAGCGGCAGAATATTATTACTGTCTCCTTAAGAACTGCACGCGAGTAACGCGACGCGTCTAATATACACGCATTTGACAAGCAGATTTTCTCTGTTTGCTTTCACTTTAGACATAACCAACTTTGTTTATGTAAACCTTGTGTGTATTTGACAGTATCAGCGCAATAAGACTCGAAAGATTAGTCCAGTATTTAGGCGCTGTGACAGGCTTTTAGTTCCTGTGAGCGCCGGGTGTACGCGCTCAGAAAAGCGGATGTTAGAACAGCGCATCAGCACGTGAATGACATGTTTACCTAGCAAGACTTTGACGCACATGCAAACAATGAACTTTTGTGAATTGCAGTGTCCCGTGAGTGTAACTCTACCTCTGCGTTTACATGTGATGTGATGTGAATGGACGTCGCGTTGTACAGTATGTGGAGATGAAGGCGCCAGAATTGAACTGATAGAATGCACGATACTATGATTTTTCTTCAAAAGCAGATCGTGGAGACATTTTAATCGTCCACGATCAAAAACCGTGAGACGCACACCCCTAGTTGGAAGTTTAAGTTGCTGGCGCTCATGCTTCGTTCACGGTCGTCACGTGCGCATAGGAAACACGCCACCTATCGGCAAGACTCATCGGCAGAAATATTCATATCGGCCGATGCCGATGATGGTCATTTTAAGCTTTTATCGGCCGATACCGATGTTGTCCCGATATCATCGTGCATCCCTAGTATTCTGAGTAAACCTACAGTGTACACTACACACATGCTTTGTTCCAAAAGCTTGTGAGCTGTCTATGAAGGCAGCATCTTAGGTGTGCTTCTAGCTCAAAGGCTGGTCATAAATCAAGTGTCAAGTTAATCAGCAAGCATCAAGTGTACTTCGTGAAGGAGACAATGCCAGATTGGACTATGATAAGCTCAGTATGTATTTGGTGCACTCATTTTTTTTGAGTCCAATCCAATTTCAGATTCTGAAAGTTCTGTGTACATATGAACCCTAAACTTTATACTCCGCGAGTATAAGTGTCGTTTTCAATCCGACTCATTGAGGTGTTTACATGAAGGCTTTAACTGACCAATGGATTTTTTTGGGTGCTTGTAAATGTAGCTAAAGAGAAAATAATAAATCCAAGATTTATTGAATGAGGCGAGAGAAATGTTGTTTTATATCGAAGTAGTATCCCTTTTTTGTGTGCACACTACTTCATTTTGGAGTGTTGTTGTTAATTACCAATTGGGCTCGATGATAAATCAAATATTAGTAAATAAATAGTGTGGTAATTTTGCTGACATTATATAATCAGGGAATGTCGTGAATATCATGATAATGTTGATAGTTTAACTTAGATTTCTAAAGCCAATTTTACACCCCTTTGTCGTCTCACTAGTATGACCGTGCCAGAGGTGTATGTGTGAGTGCTCTGTGAAGCAATGGTTTCTATTTACAACGTGTTCTTGAAACGGTTTCAATGCAATGGCCCATCAGAGGCGTTTAGGTCAGAATGCACTCAACGCTGGAGTTTTTGTTAAAAATTTGGAAAAATAGAGATCGATAAGCATTATTTAACAACATGGTAACATCAAACTCTAGAAATCAGTTTATGAGATTTTAATCACAGACAGAGATTCAGTTGATGAGAAAATACTTTGACTATAATCAAAAGTGAATTAACTGTTCGAATTTTGAGGCAATTTTTCACTGTTAATGAAAATGGGAAATAATATTGATATTTTTCAAGGTATTGTATTGAATTTAGAAATTCCAGTATCGTGACAACAATAATATACGCACAGTATACATAATATATACACAAAAGAAAAAGTACACATTTCAAACTAAAATAAACATACCTCCGAAATAAATATGCATGCTTAGTTTCACAAATAAGATTACAGCGTATTTAAAATTACATTGTGCTAAAATTACTGTGTCTAAGGCTGCATTTACATGGTTCAAGTGACCTAATTCCAATGTTTTCCTCCCATGTGGCACAGATCAGATATAGGTTTCATTCAAACATGTGGAAATAAATCTGAGATGAATCGGATGCGTGCATTTGCATCTGCCATGTAAGTGGACAGATCGGATATTCCCATCAATGCGAGTCGTACGTCATTGTAATTAGTGACGGTGGCGAATGACGTCAACTCAGGTGGACACAAACCTCGATCACATGACTCTTTTCAATGGAGGATGAGGGCTCAACCCAATGTTTTGCTGACCTTTAAAGACGTTGCGGAAAGCAAAATTTGTATTATCATTTCATCCGCGTCCATTGCAACTGGCACCATTTCTACTTTCTTTTTTTGGGTATTCTGGGTCAGTGCGTCCATCTTGGGTTGTTTTGTGTGTATAGGGTAAATGCAGATATCGGATATGGGTCACTTTTTAAAAGATGATGTGAGCTGGTCGTCAATTGGTTATAGTCAACAAATCGGAATTGGGCCTTAAGACCTGCAGTGTAAATGCTGCCTAAAAGTGTGATATGTTTGTGAAAATCAGTAAAAATTAGAAGAAGAAAAAATAAAACATTACTACAACTTTTATGCATGTACGTACCTCATTTAGACATGTAAATAGCAATACTGAAGTGTCATTAATATATCGTGCTTAAATTTTTGTATCAATGTGATAAAATTGGAAACCATTGAGCAGACGTGGTCTGTGATGGGCAATAAGGCAAAAGCTTGTGTGCTGCTAAATGAATGTCTATAGATCTTGGCTGACTGTACATGAGCTCCAGTCTATAATTAAACCCACATGAGTCGGGGCCTTTTCCTGCCAGCTGTCACAAGGTCGCACGTTTTTGTCATTTAGGACTCGTCTCATGACCTTTCCTCTGCATTGATATATTACAGGGCTGAGGAAACGTGCATGCGATACCTAAAAGCACATTGTTTACTGTAGAAGAATGCTGGGAATGAGCATGTCACTGTACTTACCAGTTTATCAGAGGTGCATGAAAAGGAGAAAGACACAATTAGATGAATATTTACAGCAAAGATTTATTTATTTTAATTCTTGCATTTAAACACGTAGAGATGAGACTTTTGAAATGTATAGGTTGATATAGTGAAAAACAAAGAAACATGTTGACTTGTACATTTGCACAACAATAGATAAAGCATAATATCAGCAGCTAACAATTGCTATGTTTCCATTCACATATTTTTGTGTGAATTTTATGATATCGCATGAAAAAACACTGAATAGAACTGTGAAGATGTGTATAAAATATAAAACCGCATAAAAAAAAAATCAAATCATGCACATAAGCTATGATAGAAACGCATTTACCAAATAAATTCCTGGATTGGCAACAAAATCCATGTGACTTTGCCTCAACAGATCATCTGGCTGGATAACTGGATTAACCAGCTGGACTCCCAGAACTGTCTTGCACGATTTCGTTCCCAAACATCATGCACTCTCCTCTGAATGTAGGATAACATGGCAGCATTTATTATATTGTGTTTCATCTGCGCATGGGATGAAAATGGTGCTTTATTTGCAATTGTACCACATGGGTGTTGAATGCTTGATTTTGATTGGTTGATATAGCATTCTAAGGAGTGCAATTATTTTCCAGTAAACGCACAGCTATGAAGTAGTTTCAGGTCTGTCGACCGCATGACAGTTCCATATCACGTCGCCACTTTATTTGACTTATTGCAAAGGTCCTTACAGCCTACAACAATAAATTAACCTGGGGCCGTATTCACAAAGAATTTTATCTTACCACTAGGAGTACTCCTAAATCGCACTAAAATATTTTAGCTAGGAGTTTTCTCTTAAAAGTTATTCACAACGCCTTTCAGACCTACTCTTAGTAAGGAAAAATGACAACTCCTAAACTAAGAGTGAGTCTTCGTTGCTATGGATGACGTCAATTCTCATGCACGAGCTTCCTCGCAATGATCACGGTGATTGGTTGTTAGATGACAGGGCCATCATGCGGAACATAACACAGACACAACAAATCATGGAATTACGACATCTAAATATGTCTGTGTCCTACACAAAATAATAATAGTATGTCATTGAAATGCATATATAATGACATATTTGTGCAGGCCCCAGTGAAGTGTAATTCTAAAAAGGCAGAGAGAGAGAGAAAAGTCGTAAATTAAATTAAATCAAGGTAGGCTAATACCCCAATGAAAACCGCCACTTGCCTAATAATGAAAAAAACGACACTTGCATTAACAGTTGCTTGGTTAATTGACATCATATTAGCCTAAATAGACTACTTAAAGCAAGGAAATGTTGCTCCTATTGAAGTAATGTAATAGTTGAATGACGGTGGATGATGAACTTGCCAAAACGGAAAAGAAAGCCCAACTGGACGCAGGATCAGTTACTGCTGCTGGCCCAGTTGGTGGTGAAAAAAAAAAAAAACATAATAAAAGGGAAATTCGGGACTGGGATATCAAGCAAAACTAAGCGTGAGACATGGGAGAGGATTTGTTTGCAGATCAATGCAGCAAGAGACTGCGAGAGGCGGTGGTATGCGCTACAATCCTTTGTGAATAGGTGTTAGGAGTCCTCTCGACTTCTTTTAAGCTGTCCCAGACTTAGGTGCTACTTTTAGGGAAAAGTACACACATTACTCTTTGTGAAAAAAATTAGGAGTCCTAAAGTTAGGAGTGACACGCCCATTATTTTTAGGAGTTGCTCCTAAATTCGCCAGTTAGGAGCTACTTTTAGCCTTAAAATTCTTTGTGAATACGGCCCCAGAACCGTAGTATAAAGGCCAATTGACATAGCACAGACAAACGCCAACAAACACGTTTGTTGGGTTTTGTCGGATCAGTGTGTTACCCGTTGGCGTTGGTCGGGGTTTGTTTTCACCCGACTGAACATACATGCAGAACAATGGTTACTAGCTTAATTTAGTCCAATTAGCCTACAGACAATGTGAACATAGCATCTGGATGATAGATGCTTTTGTGTGTGTGTGTGTAGTTTACATGTGTATACACTCTTCAGGATGTAGGACACAGTCGTTCCCTTAATGCTTTTCGCAGTGTCTGAAAAGAGGCCATTTCTGTCCTGCCTGAGTGCATGATGACATAAACAAATGCACTCCATCCCAAGAGTGGGCCAAAGGTCATACAGTTCCCTAAGTCTTGTAGCTTTATTACTTGTGATCCTTTACTCTCTGGTGTATGCTTGCAACTAGTGTTGTGTGCAATTCTCCATATTCATATTGGTCTATCGTCAGCCTGTGAGATCGGCGATACACACTTTTATCAGGTGGGGGGTTTCAAAAGTGTACTTATTGAATCATTAATTTACTTGTGTATATATATACTCATTTATTTAATTAGTTATTTACTTAGTTCATTGTCTATCATTTTGCAAGCAAAGATGTAGTTGGTGATAAAGAAAAATGTCCTGTCACATAGGAAGTATTTCACCCAAAAGGCGAGCCCATGGATATCACACAGGCAGTTTGCAAACTTTGCACGAGAGTTGTGTTATTAAGGTCAGTTATTTACTACAGAAAGTAAAAGCAAAAACGGAGCTTTTGGCAGCTGCTGCTTCATTAACGGTGCAACCGTTCTCTCAGAAATGACGGGAGCTGAATCTACCTCAACATATGCTGATAACAGTATATCAACTACCTTTATTTATTGGTCGGTTATGCAGTGATCTCGTTATAAAATAATGCAGAGGCAAATTCATTGTAGGCCCTAATATTAATTTGATAATAATACTAGCCTGATAATAATAATACATTTATACATCAATGGGGAAACCACCCAGTTATTTTCTTCATGTCAAAGGCATCAGCTATCGGCGATATCTCTGACTGTTGTCTATACACCGTATCATCTATTGGCGCATTCCTTCTTGCAACCACAGATGTTTGGTTGATAATCTCACACCTATCGATTTGTTAAATTTGTCAGCAACCCAAAGCTTTAATAGGCCCAGTTTTGTGTAGCTAGACGTTTGAAGTTCCACGCACATGCCATCAAATCATGTGTCGCCCAAAACTGAGACTATGATAAGCTTTAGTTTAGCTTTTATTGCTGGATGAAGCTTTTCCGGATTTGTTTGTTTTATTACCTTTTTTCCCCCCTTCTCCATTCACTTGCAAACCGGAATCAGCAGGTTTGCAACACGGACAAACACTGACAGGAAGTGAGGTAACTTCCACTGATTGTTACAGAACCAACCAGCCATTTGATCTCAGTATTATCATTACATGAAATAATAAGAAATAAAATCTAAATGTAATGCTGTAAAAATGCAAAACAAAACAAAAAAATATATCACCTTAATAAAGAATCGGCAACAGACTCCAGAAAATACTCTCCACAACACCTCAGTAGTAAACCTGTGCATTCTGCTTTAGATTAGATGAATGAAGAGACAACAGGGTAAAGTAGCGTGAATGCATATGCAAAAATAACTGCGTCCACACCTTTTCAGTGCTTTTTATTTTAGTCTTTAGTAAATCTTGATGCCAAAAGAGGTTTTTGCACTGGCGCAAGCTGTTAGTAAATTTGGCCCTAAACTTGTTAAAGAGGGGTTTTACAGTGCTGACTGTCTGTCAGTACACTAAAGCACAGCTCTGAGCAATGTGGCTCTAAATTATTTGAGAATTGTGCCTCCCTTTAAAAGTGCAGTAAGCGAAACAAACACACACCCCTCCCTTCATTGCTCCGCCCCCAAAATGCATGAACACACAATGCAAGATCGGAAGTCTCTTTATCATAACTGAAGCGAAGCAAAATAATGCTTCACGAAAAGTAAAGCGAAGATAATGAACAAATGACAAGGAAGAACAAAAATTAACATGCAGTACACAAGAGTATGTAAGCAAGAGTTTGTTGTTAGTCGCCAGCAACACACAGATCTAGGCAAACAATGACACTCAGAACTGTCCTGTTACTAAAGCTAACATTACAACAACAGCATATCTTGGTTCTGTGAAACACCGCAAAAGCATGTTACTCACATGGAGCAGAAACAACAAAACCTCAGCATCTGTTTTCAGGCCTTCCTGCTTCGGTCTCTCTAATGCTGGAAAGCTTTTCTAAAACCCGTTTTTTTTCACTAATATTCCTCTGACCTTTTCTCTTTTGTAATGTCTCTCAGCCATCTCTCTTTCTAGTCTTTCTTCTAATCTCCCTCTTGCTCACTCGCTTTGTATCTAGGGACCTCTGTTTTGATTGGCTAACCTCTGTGCTTGTGACTTCTGCACAGTATGTCATGTGTATTTGAAAAGAGTGAGTAAAATAATGTTTTCCATGACAGGACTCCTTAAATTTCAGTTAATTTTAAAATAGTCTGATTAAAAAATGTTGGTAATGCTAATGTGTGTGTGTACATGTGTGTGTGTTGGCAGACGGTGAACCAGTTGGCCCATGCATTACATCAGGATGAGGATTTGGATGCAGGCAGTCTTGTGTGTGTTATGTGGCCTAAAGCAAAGTGTGCATTGCTACGGGATGACCTGGTACTTGTGGACAGGTAAACCGGACAGTTTGGCCTGAGACATACTGACATATTTTTAGGAAATAAATAATGTATTATCAGAAATGTCGTCATTTAACATAATACATTGCCTGTTTTAATTTTAAGATCATTAATTTCTGCACATATTAAACTTTGTTTGCATGTATTTATTTATTATATTTGCTTTGCTGGATCATTTTTTTAATATAAATATGATGTTTAAGGATACCAATGCAATAGCATTATAAGCCTACTGCATTATATAACTATTTAAGTGCATAAGAAGTCACATTAGTAATATCAGTCTGTCTGAAACTTATATGAAATCTTCCTTTTCAAGCCCTGGCATCGATGTCACAACAGAGTTGGACAGCTGGATTGACAAATTCTGCCTTGATGCTGACGTTTTTGTGCTGGTGGCCAATTCAGAGTCAACTTTAATGCAAACGGTGAGTTTAATACGAACTTCAGTTGGTAAGGCTAATTAAATGTGGAAGCAGAAGCTTTACACAATATTTTCTATATATTACAGCATTATGGACACAGACAAAGTGCAGTAGTATTCACACTGATTTCATGTGTGGTTAAGATTGGTGTATTAATCTTTATTGCCATGCAAAATATGACTTGTCGAGCATGATTAACTTCTATTTTTCTCCAGTCTTTGTGAGGTTGTCAAGTAATTTTAAAGTGGACTGGTGTCAGCTTCTTAAAATATGTCTCCCCTCTGCCCTCTTAAAGGAAAAATCATTCTTTCACAAAGTGAACGAGCGTCTCTCCAGTCCCAATATCTTCATCCTGAACAACCGCTGGGACGCCTCAGCCAGCGAGCCCGAGTACATGGAAGAGGTGTGACTTACATGACACATTCTCTTAGTCTGTTTACCCTGAGATGTTTTAAACCGTTAGCATCCCTGATATTGATGAACCTAATACTTTAAGCATGTTTTAGTTTTTTACAAAATAAAGGACAAGGTGAAGCTTTAAGTTTTTTGTGTCTGCTTTACACATTAAAGGCAGGGTAGGTAAAAATCCCCAAAAATACTTTTTTCCATATTTGTTTAAACTGTCTTTATATATCAATGCATAATTAAAATGTAAGTAATCTGGAAAAGAAATGATAAAAATCGAGTGTCTGTAGTCCTCTCAGGACTGCAATAAACACAGCTCATTATTCCATTAACTCCCACCCCCTCCCTTCTCGGCTCCTTCCAAAGCCACGCCCCCAAAACACATGAATGCGCGATCCCGGCCGTTCGCTCAGCTGGAAGAGTCGGACGCGTTTACCAGCGCCGAGCAGAGAGGAGCGCAGTGCATGTAGTGACATTATGTCAGAATCACAAGTAATAAAATAACTAACTTTATCAGTATGAATATAAACAATTTACATGGCTGTTAGTACACACTATCAAGCTCGCATATCGATACTGGTAAAGTTTAAAATATTTTACTAGCTCGTAACCGAATCAAACTCAATATAAGGCAAAGCTATAAATAGCTTCATTGATACACGTTTGCCGTTACTATCAGTTACACTGTGATGAAGGTGAATTTGTAAGATTCATAACATATACAGGTGTTTTGCATGTAAGAGCTTCCACGATGAAAGCACTGTTGGCTCTGATGTATTGTTTACAGATAAACTGAGTAAAATACACTCAAACACCTTCTCACAACTGCATTGCAGACACCAGATAATATAACACACACACAACATATATTGTATAACACATACAGATACAACATAAAGACATAGGTAAACATATGTAGAGCATATAACAACAAACCAAACGTGAAAAAAACGGAGCAGGTAGAGGTCACGGTGAACATAGGAACAAAGTTTTGGCAGAGGGTAAAGCTAGGTATAAAAATAGATCCCCTAAACTTTTTAACCTAAAGTTAGATTTGGCGAAATTAAACAAAACCGCTTTCAACTGCAGATAGGCCTATTGTTTATTTATCGTCTCAACCCTGGCTCACTAACAGTAACGTTATAACAGTCGACACCAAAGTGACACTGTCATAGCTAAGCCAGTGTAACGTTAGTTATGCTACGTAACGTTAGGTAGCTATATTAGGTAGCTACGTGTGCTAGTGATACATGCTTCATGAAAAAATAAATGCCATCAAAATGAAAACAGCGAGATTACCTGTCCAGCAGAAATAATGCCATCATGGAGTCACTTTTCAGCCCCTTGAGATCCCTCAGTTGTCGCCACCGCTGGAAAGCCACGCCGATATTGACTCTCGTATGATTTCTTGATTTATTGTTCATAGCCTTTTCAAATACTGTCTTCCTTTTTTTAACTTGTTTGACTTCGCTGCCTGTATATGCAGGTACTGAGAATTTTGACTGTTCTTTCTCTGCCATAATTGTTATTAGCTTCCGTGCCTCTTCAAACGGGTGCGCGCATTTGGGCTGCTCCTGTATCAGCAGAGGCGGTATCCATGGTAGCGAGGGAGAGTACCAGTCGCCCCAGCCAGTGTTGTTTTTGGCAGCCCTTTTAGTTTTAGTCTTAGTCTTTTGGACGAAAATGCTTTTAAGTTTTAGTCACATTTTAGTCACTTATAAACATAATAGTTTTAGTCAAGTTTTAGTCGACGAAAACACAAAAAGGTTTTAGTCAAGTTTTAGTCGACTAAAACACAAAAAGGTTTTAGTCAAGTTTTAGTCAATTTTAGTAAAAAAAATTAACAAATTAATTTAGGCCAAAAAGTATCGGAAATGGGCTTAGGTTTGACAGGTTGTAGCAAGTGTTGCAATTCATAAAACAACAGCTAACCTTAAAACCTTTGCATAATAAACTAGACTTTCTCATTGATGGAGATGCAGTGCTGCCATTGCCAAGCTGTACTTCATTGTCACATTGGGCAGAAACCTTTTATCCCCATATTTCAAGTTATAGTTTTTCCATGAATATTAAATGCTATTTTCACCAGGAATCACAGTAAAAAAGGAATGGTTTAAAGTTTAAACAGTAGGGATGGGCATTCGATTAAATTTTCTTAGTCGATCGTCGGGAGAATTAACGATCGACTATCGATTAATCATTAATATTTTTTATATATTAAAATTAATTATTTATTTAACTTTTTATAAATTAAAAATGCAATGAAAATACAAAAATACAGCGTGTTTTTCCTCGATGAGATCTTTATTACAAGATAATCAACTTGCGGCAGTTAAACTGGACATTCGGCTAAACTTGAAATATGCGCTGCGGTGCTCTAAAAAGCAACAAAACCTGCAGCTGCGAGTTGGCGTCCTCAAACAGAGACCCGATCGTTTGTTCCAAAATAATAATAAAAAAAATCATGTTAAACAATAACTTAACCAAAAACATAATAATACTCAATGTAACTCAAAACTATCCAAGGTACGAAGTCGAGAAAGAGTGTGAGAGAGATTAGCCTACCTAGCAACAAATTAGGCTACTTAACAAAGCCTCAAAAAAAATATCTATTAACTCACATAAAACTTCTGCACCAGTCTACTGATTTTTGTTGAGAAAGATAAGCATGTTGATGACATGGACTGGGCCTGGGGTCAGACGCGACCGCAACATGGTGACCGTCAAGCCTCGTTTATACTTTTGCCTGGCTCTGCAGCGTGAGTCTCCGCAAACGGACGAGGCGTTTATACTCCACGCGCTCGCCTGTAAAACGCCGAATACCGCAATGACGTCATTTTTGCCTCGCGCACCTTTGCTCGTGCTTGTGCGGACGCGTCGAGGTCGAGTGTAAACAAACTCTTCAGTCCAGCCGCCGAAAACACCCGCTCTGAGGGGACTGACGTTGCCGGGATGCACAGGTACCTCTGCGCTAACTTGACCAGCCCGGGAAACAACTTATTCCGTTCACTTTCCACCCGTCTGCAGTGGTGCAATCCAGCGGTTCATTGCTTCAAGGCTCACATTACGCAACGCAACCATATTACATTTACATTTACATTTAGTCATTTAGCAGACGATTTTATCCAAAGCGACTTACAACTGAGGACTAAACCAAGCGAGTCATCGTGAAGAGGCAAAAGCAACGCAAGAAGTGCTCAAAATACAAAGTTCAGACATAGCTCGGAGTAGCATAAGCCAGGCAAGCGAGGATTTAGAGGAAAGGATTTTTTTTTTTTTTTTTTTTTTTTTTTTTTTTTATCGATAACAAATTAACATGATCGACGAAATTCTTAATGATCAATTATCGATCGTCGATTAATAATGCCCATCCCTATTAAACAGCAAAAAAAAAAAAATTGAGCTACTACAACATTAAACACAGATAAAGTGGTAACAGTGGAATCACTGTTTTACTCCAAAAAAGCCAGGAATAAAAACATTATTACATTATTGTGGCTTTATTTGAGAAATTGCTAAAGTGCAATGAACAACGTGCCCAAAATATAAGCTATTGAGGAACACATACTTATGATCTACAACTTGCACTTCAACTTGTCTGCCAGTGCAACAACAAGATGCATATTATTTGTAAACACAAACATCAAACAACCCTGTCTATCTTTAACTTGTGCAAACTGCAAAGTTGCAAACATTCTGAAACAAAATAATAAAATAAATAAATAATATGGTGCATTGAACATAGGTTGTTAGGAATGCATACTTGAATATAAAGTATGAAACAAACATGACACTTGAAGTGTGTTGAGCATAAAAATGAATAAGACAATTCCTGAATATTGTAAACAATTTGGTCTTTCAATGGTTAGTTCGGTATTTTACACTTAAAGCCCTGTTTTAAGATCGTTTCTGATGAAATAGAACGGTTAAGATTGAAATTTGGACAAATGCTGTTGTCCCGAGAATTTTAGGTTTACCCCCCACCTACACGTCTATGTGCACTGGAACAATCATTCATAAAACGCATTAAACTTTAGTTTACAAAGACGTGAAACTCACCGAGTGGTCAGGGGTGTTCACTGATATGCTCACACAAAAATCGCTGCAAAAGATGCTTTCCAACAGGTTTTATCGTAGTTTTTGTCCGACTCCATTGACTTGACTAAACTACGTTAAAACCTGTGTTGTTGTTGCGTTGAATCTGGTGCGCGTGTGCGGCGGCCGGGTGCTGCGCGTAACGTTACCCAAAACAAGGATAGGAAACGGCAGGATTGCTGATACTTTTTTTTTTAGCTTAATACAGACAGATTGCACGCAAAACAGGCAGAAATGACATGCATTGTGAACGTCAGACTCATTATCATTTTCGTTCCGTCTCGTCAACGAAAACTCGAAAACGTCTCGTCATGTTTTAGTCACCTTAGAGCCATTTTTAGCTAGTCATCGTCGCGTTATCGTCATTAAAAAAAAGTGCGTCAACGAAATCATTTCGTTATCGTCATCACTGACGAAAACATCATTGGCCCCAGCCAATATTTTCTTTCGTCCCGAATGGTATAATGAGCTGTGTTTATTGCAGTCCTGAGAGGACCACAGACACTCGATTTTTATAATGTCTTTTCCAGATTACTTACATTTTAATTATGCATTGATATATAAAGACAGTTTAAACAAATTTGGAAAAAAGTATTTTGGGGGATTTTTACTTACCCTGCCTTTAAATCAAGCAAACAAATTGGACCTTTTTTTAATTTTATTTTTTTTATTACAGGGACAGTGGATATTAATAAACATTTCTGTAAATATGCCAGAATTAGCCAAAAGGCTATTTTTCATCTGTAGTCCCTGTAGCCTTTTTAGAAACCAAATGTGAATGTTACATGGTGTTTCTGCACTCTTATAAGGAAACTTGTGTGTTTGTCAGGTGAGACGGCAGCACATGGACCGCTGCTCTAGTTTTTTAGTGGATGAGCTGCGGGTGGTGGATCGCGCTCAGGCCAGTGATCGGATCTTCTTCGTCTCTGCTAAAGAAGTTCTGCAGGCACGTGTCCAGAAAGCCCAGGGAATGCCTGAAGCAGGTAGATTTGTTACAAACTTTTTCATAGACGTTAAGTATTTACAACATAAAGCATTTTTCTGTAAATATTTTATTTTGAATGTTTTTATTTTAAAATTCTTTATATTTAGGGCTGCACAACAAAACACTATACAGTATTGCGATTTGAACTGCGATATGATGTAAATGGACATTAAAGAGGACTCGAACCTCTTTAGTTGTGATAGTCTCAGTACATTGACACTGGTGTTTAAGGAATCTAATACAATTAAATAATAGTTTTTATTATTAGTTTTAACTCAATAAATAATATTATAATGAAAATTTTATTTGACACTTTGATAGTTATAATACTAATATTTATGTCTTCAAAACCTAAAGTCTTAATAAATCTCAGCATTTGATTTGATAGTCGTTATAAGCTATATTGCGGTTTCAGTTTTATTTCGATTAATTGTGCAGCCCCATTTATTTGAATGTTTCAATTGATGTAATTTTAATTTAATAATTATTAGTTTTTCATCATTGAACACCCAGGCTTTTGCGAACCCCTATTTTGGGAAAACCTGCATTACAAATGTTGAGTTAAATATTCTTTAAAGTTTACAACGTTCACATGATCACATTAATGTATATGTACATTTAAGCATCTTATTTTGAAAGAGCAAGAAAAGTCCTCTTTTCCATGACATGACCCCTGTAAAGCCATTCTTGTTGGATTTTCAGGTGGTGCTCTAGCTGAAGGTTTTCAAGCGAGAATGTTTGAGTTTCAGAACTTTGAAAGACGTTTTGAGGTGAGTGTTGTTGGGTTTCGGGAGTGTGATTTGTTTCAACGTGTCTGTGTGTTTGTCTGACTGTCATATATGCGTGTATGCTTACAGGAGTGCATCTCCCAGTCAGCAGTGAAGACTAAGTTCGAGCAGCACACAATGAGAGCCAAGCAGATTTCTGAATCTCTGCGTCTGATCATGGACTCTGTGCACATTGCAGCTCAAGAGCAGAGGTGAGCGCAAAGGCGCCTGCTTTTCTTAGCAGTAATCCATCACACTAAACACTGATCCACTGGTGACATTGACATTAGCTTAATGCCTGAGTGTGCTGTTACAATCTGAGGAAGTGATATAAATAGTAGAGTCAGATTTTGAAATTAGTGATGATATCCAGTAGGGATGGGTATTTTTGTAAATGTTTTAATTTCGAGTACTGATATATTTAAAAAAAAATAGGGGCGTGGCATGTCCGTCATGGCGATAATACAAATATTTGAATTAAAACTGTTACTTTAATGTAAATAAAAATATTACATGCCTATCAAATTATGACTTGAAAAATAACACTAGATTATCAATAATGCATCAATATTTTCAAAAAAGAAAGCTTTATGAGGTGAAGCTGAGGAGTGAATAAACAACAGTAAACTGAAGACATGTGACCTGTTCTATGACACATCCTAAATGAGATTAATCAGATATCCTTGATACACAACATAAACGTAACATCACAACTTGTATCTGCACAAAAGGACGCAAAAATGCATGTGAACTTTTAGTGACGTGCTAGCCAGAAAGTGTAAGTGGATGCGCTCTTCCCGTAACAACACGCTGAAACACGGGCAACTAAAGCACAAAGAATTTACAACATTCTTTTACAATCATGTTCTCATTATTATGTTATGTATATGCATAGGCGTAATTTGCAGATGGGACGGGTGGGACATGTCCCCACCACTTTTTGCCAGGGTAGATATTGTCGCCACTATTTTTTAAAACCTCTCGCGGTATCTGAGGTCTGATTGGTTAGCGTCCAGACTGGCGAAATAAAGTGAAACTACAGAGCTGAATACACCCATGCTAAAGTTGACTAAAAAGAGGAATAAAAAAATCATCTTTTGGAAATTGATCTTAATGCCTTAATTAAAAAAATGAGGAAAAATCCAACCGTTTAGGACACCTATTTTCTTTGTGAATGAATAATGTATCGTAAATAAATAAATGTTCTTCCTTAAAATACAGAGGGCATTAGTCAGGACACCCCTATGTTGAATTCCCATAGAGGCAGGCAGATTTTTATTTTTAAAGGCCAGTTATTTCATGGATCCAGGATACTATGCATCCTGATAAAGTTCCCTTGGCCTTTGGAATTAAAATAGCCCCACATCATCACATACCCTTCACCAGACCTAGAGATTGGCATGGGGTACTTTCCATAATGCTAATGCTCAATGCTAATCAAACCATCTATTAGGCTAACTGAAATAAAACCATGCCAATCTCTAGGTATGGTGGATCAGTCTTGGATCAGTATTATTAAAAATAATTTGGTTTGTTATATTTGAATGATAGTTGACTATGCATAGACTGAAATTAATGTTTAGTATAATGATTTTTTGTGTTTTGTTCAGGATTCATTGTTTAGAGATGAGGGAGGAGAGGGAGGACAGGCTGGAGTTCATTGATAAACAGCTGGATCTGCTCACACTGGACTGCAAAAGCAAAATCAAAAAGATCACAGAGGAGGTCGAGAAACAGGTGATGCTCCATTTATGACTCGCTTGTTTTTCTGTCTTTTTCAGAAATGTTAGCTATTGCCTATTTTGTTTCTTTCAGGCCTGGGCAAACAGAGTATACAAAGTTAGAAAGATTGGGCTGTGTGTGTACCGTATGCACTGTACACATACCCTAGTTTACGCATAAAAAACGAAATGTACTTTGGGCATTTAAAAAATCAGCCATTTCTGTTGGACTAAATCAGCTCAATGATATTTTTAAAAGACACATTTTTGTTTTAGTTTGGCTGAAATCAAACATTTAAACTTCATGTAAACGTGTAATGTCAGACTTTTTTTGGCACATCATACAAATCCACTGAGTAATATTCTATAATGATGGGGTAATGTGTTGAATGTACTATATTAAAGTATAGTTGTTCATAGAAATGTACTTTTGTTTACAATTTAAGCTTCAACCATAGTACAACTGGCATTTGCAAGGTTGTTTCCACCTTTTAACCTGCTCATCTGGATGTGTAGGTATCTAATGCTATGGCCGAGGAGATCCGGAGACTGGCTGTACTAGTGGATGACTACCACATGGACTTTCATCCTTCACAAGTGGTGCTCAAAGTATACAAGAATGTGAGTTGGACTTGATGTCCACCCATGTCTTCTCTTTATTTGTACGCTGCTTTATCCGCTCTTGGTTAATGTTTAGTATCAACATGTAACTCTCCGCATGGAAATCCCCCAGCTACCCAAAAATGTAATTTGAGCTCATCTTTGGGACGAGGACACGTCCTTTTTAATTTTCAGTTTTGCATAGGGCTGTATACAGATAAAAGCAGTTAATAGTGATTAATCTAAGGATTTATTTTCTAGTTAATGTTGTCTTTGGTAGCTCTCATTTTTTTTCTTTTTTTTTCCTCATGTTTTGCTGGAATGATTGATTTTAGGAGCTCCACAGGCACATAGAGGACGGTCTTGGCAGGAATATGTCAGAGAGATGCTCCAGTGCGATAACTGCAGCGCTGCAAACCACACAGACTGAAATGATAGGTCAGTATCTCTCTCATTTGGTGAGCTTTCAAGCAGCTCATACCAGTAACAGCAGCAGGTTAACAAGACGCTTGTTATCGTTCCAGAGGGTCTGAAGCCTCTGCTGCCCATCGGCATTCGAGAGCAGGTGGACAAGATTGTGCCCAGACAGTGCTTCGCCCTCAGCTACGACCTCAACTGTGACAAACTCTGCGGTGACTTCCAGGAAGACATCAGCTTTCACTTCTCCCTGGGATGGACCATGCTGGTCAACCGCTTCCTGGGTCCCAAAAACACACGCCGCGCACTCATGGGCTACAATGACCAGGTAGCACATGTTCATTTTGGATGGTCCTAGACATGTGCCGGTATTCGGTAATGCGATAAATCGCGGTAATGAATATGCACGATATTGTTATCGCGGGGACTTCGAAATACCGTGAAAAATAATAGATCCGAATTTAGATTTTTAGAACGCGCATCAGCTTATTTTCCATCAACCGCTTAAAAAACAATGCGTATGCTGCGCAAAACACGTGCGCACTTTGATGTAAACAATCCCCACATGTATAAGCACTGTGTGCATGCAGTGCGCACTCTAGTCTAATGTAAACAATCCTCACGTGGAGAAGAAGCACGGCGGAAGGAGGAACGCTGCCGACTATTTATCCCCCGCATGGCTGCCAACTCTCACGCATTCAGCTTGAGACTCACTCAATTGACACTTTCACACGGTCTCGCGCCACACATCCATTTTCTCACGCAGAGAAAAATCGCGGAGCAAAGAGGACACTGACACCGACAGACTAGACAGAGCAGGTTACTTTTGATATGAAAAAAACATCAGCTCTCAGGTTCTGTCCATTTTATAACGAAATTCAGACAATAAATACTGTTTTGCTGCTTGTAAATGTGACGTGACAGATCGCGCGCCTCAGTTCAAGTAAACCGATCATCTGTTACTTTTTATTAAAGATACAGTACAACCCACCGAAAGGTACGTACTTTCGATCAATCAGTGTTTTTCAACCACGGAAAGAGGTCAATAAAACTGCAGGAGAACAATTATGTCACAGAACGTTACATTTACCTCAGGAAAGCCATTTAATGTTAGTTGACTATAAGAAAATAGCTATAGAGAGGAGTATTTTGCTAAATATGTGCACTATATTACATATTTTAATATATGTTTACTTGTCACTATATAATTGTTATTATAACGAAAATTACGGCATATTACATTTTTATATTTATATTATTATTATATTTATATTGTATGCATTATATTTAATTTCTCTCTGTTTGTTTACAGCATTATGTGAGATATTTTTTCTTGAGAAAAATTTAAATGCAGGCTATCTACTGTAGCCTACCTAATATTTATCCAAATGAGTCAATATTGAATCAAGATTGAAATTAAATCCAAGAATTTAATTGAAATCGTGAAAATTGTGTTAAGCAATAATACAAACAGTAGCCTCAGTAACTGTACCATGTAAACATTGTAACATGTTGTCACTAAAAAATAAAATTAATGTTTTGACAATCACAATTACACATTGTGATGCAAGTTTTTTTTAGATACTCCCGATCCATCTGTTTCTCTTGTGCAATTAAAATATCGTGATAATACCGTATACCGTGATAAAAGCTCAATCAATTAATCGCAGCATGAAAATTTGATACCGGCACATGCCTAGATGGTCCTTGCTTTTGTCAAGTCAGTTCACCTTTAAATATATAGCGCTTTTTACAAAACAGATTGTTTCAAAGCGATCTTTTGTAATAAGTGTAAACATTTTTCCATCAAAAGCATCTTTGGGGCGCTATAAATATATTTTTCCTCCTGGATTCTGGATTTGTAATGGTTAAATTAAATTTAAGGAATCAATTAGTCAATTAATAGTCAAATTAATTGAAGTCTTGAAATGCAATTTCACAACAATGTACTAAAAGTTTAACAAAAATTACATTTTAGTTTTTCAAAAAGTTATTTTAATAGTTTTTGGATTTTTTTTTTCTGATTTTTTTTCTGATTTTTTTTCTTCATTTTCCCCAAATTTCTTGTTTTCCTTTGAAATTTCCCTCGGCTTTGTTTTAATGGTTTAATTATTTTTTTTATTTTGAAAATACATGTCTAATTAATTGAATTCATAAAACTTTAACAATTTAATATTTGATTTAAAGCATTACAATAAAAGGGCCCTATGAAATGTTTTATTTTTTCATAAATTCTGTGTTGTCTTTTAATTTTATCTGGATGTTATGCACATATGCAGGTTTATTATCAGAAATTGGGTACTAAATGAAGTCATAAAACATTTACAGATGTTTACAGTTAAATTAAAACATGGAGGAAAAAGTGTGTGATATCCTTAGAAAATAAAGTTTTATTACTTTGAGAAATACATACTACTGTACAATAATAATATGTATTTCTGTAATGTCTTCAATTTAAACAGGACTTTCAGGACAGAACAGGTTAAACAGGAGTCAGGACAGGTTGTCTGAAGACCTTTGAGTTTTTGTGTTTATATGTTATGATGATAGCTTTTTAATCAAACGAAGTTACTGTGAACTCTTAGCGCTGCTTTGGAGATAAAGTTCATGTGTTCATGCCCTCATATAGTGAGATGACAGACACTGAAACGAGTGTCACATGCTTGAGTATGTGTAGTAGATGAAACTGCACTGCTTATTCACTCTGAAACTCACAGAACATGCAGACTTCACATTTTTAAATAGCAGTCTTTTGTGCTTTTATATATTCAGACACTAGTCCATATCTCATTGATTAAGTGTTCAGCCCTAGCTTTGATTCTAATTGATAAAGGATGTGTGCTGTATTGGCAGGTTCCCAGACCCCTGGCCATCACTCCGGTCAGCACCAGTATGCCTCCTTTCCCTCAAGGATCCATGACCCAGGAAGAGCTTATGGTTTCTATGGTAACAGGATTGGCATCACTCACCTCTCGGACATCAATGGGCATTATAGTTGTTGGAGGAGTGGTAAGAAAATACCAAATATCTCGAACACACCAAAATGCATGTGTTCCTTCAAATATACACTGCTACCAAGGCTGCATTATTTGATCAAAAATACAGGAAGAACGGTAATATTGTGAAATATAAGTACAATTTAAAATAACTGCTTTCTATTTTAATATATTTAGAAATGTAATTTATTAGGGATGTGCTGAAACCACTTTTTCCAGAAGAAGTCTGATACCGACTTATAATAATTAATAATTATTTGGTCTGTTGGGGTTCATCACATGCCTGAGAACCTGGGGGAAAAAGCAGTTTGCACTGTTAAAACTGTTTCCACAAAAATATTAAGCAGCTGTTTTTTTAACAGTGATAATAAGAAATGTTTCTTGAGCAGCAAATCAGCATATTAGAAGGATCATGTGACACTGAAGACTGGAGTAATCATGCTGAAAATTCAGCTTTGCATCACAGGAATAAATTGCATTTTAAAATATATTCAAATAGAAAAGATTTATTTTAGATTTGTAATAATATTTCACAATATTACTGTTTTTATTGTATGTTTGATTCAATAAATGCAGCTGTGGTGAGCATAAGGGCTTGAAATCTTAAATCTTTTGAACTGTTTTGTATAGTTAACCTGCAAATTCATGTCATCTGATTGTCCTTTAGTCATTATAATTGTTGTAGTATTTGCTGAAATGGATGTGTGATTGTATTTCTCTGTCTCAGATCTGGAAAGCAGTGGGCTGGAGGCTCATTGCTCTGTCTGTGGGTCTCTATGGACTGCTGTACGTGTATGAGAGACTCACATGGACCACTAGGGCCAAAGAGAGAACGTTTAAAAGACAGTTTGTGGACTACGCCAGCGAGAAACTCCAGCTCATCGTCAGCTACACGGGGTCCAACTGCAGCCATCAGGTTCAGCAGTGAGTCTCAATCTACCTCTGCTGTAGCCAATTGTAGGCCGATCAAATGATTCCATCTGTTTTATAAATTATGTTCCAGAAGTCGTCAAATCAAGGACTTTCTTTTTGTTTGGTGCCATCAAACAGTTTTTTTATTATTAATAGCACTAAAATTGGAATATTCTATCTTTTTTTATTATGCCTTTTAAAATTTGGGGTCAGTAAGATTTTTTTATGTTTATGAAAGAGGTCTATTATGCTCACTAATGCTACATTGTGATCAAAAATACAGTGAACACATTGTCATATTGTGAATTATTACAATTTAAAATAACTGTTCTATTTTAATATTTGTAAAAAAAAATCTGTCACAGCATCATTACTCCAGTCTTCAGTGTCACATGATCCTTCAGAAATCATTCTAATATGCTGATCTGCTGCTCAAGAAACATTTCTTACTATTATCAATGTTGGAAACAGTTGTGCTGCTTAAGGTCCCCCTGGAATCAATCATTTTATCCCTTAAAACTTATCTTTGATCACCAAAATTACACATTTAAAAAATATGTAACTCTTGCTTCATTTAGTATACGCGGAACCATCAATATGCTAATTATCCCTGCCTCCGCTCACTCACACTAGCTCAGAGATTCACTCGGCCAACTTACTGAGGTAAACGCTGCACAATAGTATCGCTCTTTACAACGTCGGACACATAACAGTAATTAATATGATTAGCCTTTTACTTGACTGTTATCAAACAGTTAATAATGTGTTGCTAATGTTATTCAAACCATGTTCCTGTTCGATCTCAGAGTCAGACAGCTGCCTTCTAACAATCACCAGAAACACTTAAAACATCAGAACGTCAGTGGAGAAGAAAGGTTATTAGTTATAGGTTATAGAGATAGTTCATCATATCATCGTTATATACATCATACACCCGCTATATTGCTATATCTACCCGATTATTCATATCAACAAAAAATATACCAGGATAACCTGGCATCTCTTGAGACCCCTGCTAGTTTGCTGTTAATGATATGCTAAAGCCCGCCGGCACGTTGTCGTGATTGGTTACGGGTTGTTTGTGACGTCAGAAACACCAGCGATTTCACACCGCGTTTTTGAGACTGTCTTTGGTTCACTGCAGTTTTAAAGAGAAAATACTCAGCAATGGTGTTGACATGAATTTACACATGGTCTGTCTTAAAGCACATAAAAAAAAACACTTCTAAACAACATTAAAAACTACATTTTGACCAGGGGGGCTTCAATATTTTCATGAAAACATGAATAGAATGATCAAAATAACAGCATTTAATTGAAGTCTTTACTGTCCGTTTTGATCAGTTGAATTAATCTTGCTGTAATGTTAAATAAAAGTGTTAATTCCTTTCTGAAAAAAATACTGACCTCAGACTTTAGAATGGTGGTGTATATCCATCAAACAAAGAAATCCCATCATGGAAGATAGTAAAATATGCCTTACATTCTGTGTGAAAGTCTTTTTCAAAACATACAAAGCCTTTTAATCCAGTATTATTCTGAGTGTAGGTAGATTGATCGAACTAGAGTTAATCTGAACCGTCATGTCAGTGCAAATGTTGTTGTGTTATTTAGACAATTCTTCACTACTGCCCTCTGGTGGAGAAAATTAATATATGAGCAATTTATGAAGTACTTATTTTAAGAGATTTGCTTTCTGTAGTTTTTTTAAACGTTGTTGAATCCTTGTTTGACACAGGGAGCTGGCCAGCACCTTCTCTCAGCTGTGTCAGCAGGTGGACGTGACCAGACAGCAGCTGGAGGATGAAATCCGGGATCTGAACAGCAAGATCCAACAGCTGGACTCCCTGCAGAGTAAAGCTAAACTGCTCAGGTGAGAGTCTGTTGAATGAGCATTTGATGTTTAGCAGCAGTGGAGTTAGTTTATATGTAGTCTTGTTCAGGAATGGATCTTACTGTGACAACATATACACTACAGTTCAAAAGTTCGGGGTCGATAACATTTAAAAACATTTTTTTTTTAAATTAATACACTTGATTTTTAATTTGATCAAAAGTGATAGTACAGACATATTCATCAAATAATCCTGAAATCTGGAGTAATGACTGCTGAAAACCAGCTTTGCCATCATAGGAATAAATGATATAAATATGCGCTGCATGTTTTGAAGCTAATTAAATCATAAGAATTGTGTTTATTACAGTGACAATGAATGAAGAACTCGCTATTTGTATATAGCCCCTATTAATATGTTAACAGTGTAGAGTGTAAAACATTAACTATAAACTAATAGTTTGTTAATGATTAGTAAGTACTTTATTACTGTATACTTATTATAAAGTGTTACCCTTTTTTATGCAAGTACATAGTAGTTAAAGACACCTAATATAAAGTGTGACCAGACATTTTTCAAAATCTTATATCAACCCCAAACGTTTGAAATGCATCAGAGGAACCATTCCGACGACACATTAAAATCATTTCAGTTATTCATGTTTGTTCATTTGACTTTTGTTAACATGTGATTTGTTCTACAGGAATAAAGCTGGCTGGTTGGACAGTGAACTAAACATGTTCACCCAGCAGTATCTTCAACAAGGCCGATAGAGAGTGAACCAACTGTATGAGTGTGTAGAGCAGCTCATCTCCCCACTGCTGCACTTTTAATATCTAACACTAAGACATGCTTTCAACCATTTATTTGAGCATACCAAATATTGGTCATTTCATGTTTGTTTGTTAGTTTTTTGCCTTTGAGAGTAGTGACATGCGCCACTTTGAAGAGAGCTCACTTTTGTTTTTGTACAAACTCTTTCTTTTGTATTTAATACAGGGTTAATTATTTATTCTTGGCATGAGGTCGTGTAAAGTGGTTGATCTCTTGGATTGTGTTATAGATTCCCATACAGATTTTCTTGGCTTGCCACAGCAAGTTGCGAAAAGTGAGATGTCCATTTTAAGCGGTCTCTCGCCTGCCTTGTATTTAGTCTGACAGTGTGCTGTAAGGCCATGAACTTAACGTGGAATTCTCCTCTTTGGTCTTTGTCACAACTCTACTAGGTTTGACATATGTAACGTTAAGCAAGCGTTCCACTCGGTCTGAGATCTGAGTGTTTGATGGTGTGTGGGGATTGTCACCGGGATGCTGTAAGGAGGTTGATCTCACTCAGTGAATTCAGTGAAAATGAAAGCTGAGTACTGTCAGTCTCATCCTCATCCTACTCGCATATTATAAAGTTATATTTTTGTCACCCTGTTCTAAGTGTCTTGATCTGGCTGACACTTTTGGCAACATTTTCAAAAAATGAATTTTGGATATATGCCCATTTTCTAGACAACTAGAAAAGGTATAAATAGTATATATTTTTTTTAAGTTAAGAATTTTTTTTGTTAGAAATGTGACTTAATGAAATCAGCAATATTTTGTTGTGCCTCTTCGATCTTTTCCCCTCATAACTGCACCGTTTTACTACAAATCATTTGTTTGTTCAGATCATTTAGCAGCAATATGGGATAAATGAATATTAGTATAACATGGTATTTATGAATTGGAAAGAAAAACTAGCTTTAACTAGACACCAGTTAGGCTAAGCATATAATTACAAGTTCATCATACATTTATTGCACCTGACGTCCACATCTGGAATCTAATCTGCGAGATCAGACTGTCAATGTGTGCGATCCATTGTAAACAACATGTTAGTTGCTCACATATCTATGGTAACCTGTTTTATGATGTGTGCCAAGTGTTAAAGAATGTGATCTGGAGAGCTTTTGTGATGTGCACTTTATATTTTGCTGCTTTTTGTCTTTATTTCCAGCAGGTTTATTAGAAAGAGAATGGTACACTGAGCTTATGTCAACTTTAATGTATAGATGAGCATGCAGAACGTTGTAATTTATTGTCATTCACTATTACTGTTAGAGGAAATAATAAAGTGACACTGTTGAAAAATGAACGATTAGCCTGATTTGACTCTGTAAAAGCTGCGGTAAATGTCGATTTTTCTTTCTAAAACGTTGCTTAAAGAAACACGAGTGGCTGTTACATTCTTTTAAAGGTGCTCTACGTAACTTTTAGCGGCCTCTAGTGGTGATGTTTCAGATTGCAACCAAATTTTACAAGAGCGCTTGTGCTCGAACTCATAGACAATACCGTCTATTACACAAATATCTCGGCAAATACTTGACGGATTCGGCGAGCACCGAGCTCGTTGGGACCATCTAGTCGAGCTGAAAAGAACCATATAAGTTCCATAGTTTTTGGTGGTGTTTTCGCGGATATATTAGCAGAAAACCATCGGCCGCGCTGCAAAATTGAGGACGCCGGTGACCTCACTATCTCAGAAGAAAATCGCTCGTATCTCTGGAACGCAAAGACCCAGAGAGCTCAAATTCGGGGGAGGAGGTCCCAGGGGAACCCTTGCCCCCTACCGGATCGCCGTTCGCTGGGACCCCCGATTTCGAACGGCTATAACTCGGGGAGCCGGGCGAGTTGGACCTCGGGGGTCGGCTCGTTCGAAAGGCCCCGTCCAGCACTACGAACGATTAGAGTCTTGGGAATATTGATCAAAGATTGACTGAGATATAAGCCGAAAAACGTGCGCCTTTAACCGGACGTAACTCCCTGACCGTCTACAATAGACTATTTAAGGAGAGAGGCTCGGGAGCGCGCATGCACGTCACATCCGTTGGATTTCGTGGTAAATCCGACCCGGAGACTTCACTTAGAAATAGGAATACTGGCCTTCAGGGGTAATAGCAAAACTCGACAAGTGGATCATTTTAATGTGTGATTACAACCCCTTCACACACAGGCAATTAAAAAAAGTTACATAGAGCACCTTTAATGGCCAAACATTTTTTTTAAATTGGGGAAATACGTTTTTTTTGCAGTTCATATTAATATATAATAACCTATTTATTTACACACGCACAGATCCAACAGTTTTTCATTGAGTTTCTAACAGTCAGGGTTTCCACAGTCCTGGAAGACTTAGAAATATTAGAGAATTAAAAAAAATTATATATATAAAAAAAAATATGGAAATGACTACATCTTAAAAGGCGATTAAAATAGTCCACATCAATCAATGTACACTGTATATTGTCGCCGATGTATTATTTTGATGTTTTGTATATTTTTGTAAGTGTGAATCCATCTAAAATTCATGAAAACTATCCAACATGTTTCTACTTGCATTCTGACATGATTCTGATGAAAAAATCGGTCACAAATTATTTAATAACATGTGACAGCACTTTGGTAGCACTTTATTTTACAGTCCTGTTCCGCATATACATATTACTTACTATTAATTACAATAACTTGGTAATAATAGGTATTAACCCTGATCCTACCACTAAACCTAACCTTAACCCATGTAGTTACATTACCCAGCCTTTTCCACTGTAAAATAAAGTCCAACCATAAGTTCTTTTAATTACAATTGAGCTGTTGTACAGTTATGAAGATTTTGAGATTTTTTAGGATTTTATTTTCTTCTCCACCAGTAGATATGCTACCATGGCTACAGTTGATGCATATTATGGAATTAAAATCCATGATCATATATTATGATAATGGTACAATGACTTCACTCTCTGACAGGCACACTACATTTTAATGTGCTAGTTAATTAAAGGAAACTAATTAAAAGTCCTTTAAGTTATACATTAATATGCCAAGGTTGAAAGTTGCAATTTGTTGTTTAATTAATCAATTTAAGAGAGTTCTGCCATAAAAAAAAAATAAAAAAAACATTTTTGAAAACTAGAATAAAGTTTAAATATCTGGGCTAGCCTACTCAAAAGTCTCATTGGGCAGTGAGCATGGAGTTCATAAAAAAATGTACAGAACACAACAATTAATTTTTACACACTTTATAACTTAGAAACATGTTACACAAAAGCAAAACTCTTTAGTCGTTGTCCATACATAAGACTCCCAAACAAGAGTTCTAAGAGCATGTCCAAGCCCTGATTATTATTATAAACGAACCATTGCATGAAAAAAATCCATTTATAACCCTGATGTTTCAGTTTTCAAACAGTAATTAAGGCCTTAATGAACGAAGCACTGCTGCCCCTCCCTCACATCCCTGAGCTCATTTGCATGTTAATTATCATTAGCGTCATGGGGGGAAAGGGCCCATAACAGTTAAATTAGCAGCTCAATCATATTTTTGGCTACCCAGAATGCCACTGAAGCACAACAGGATATATTATTCCTGTCCCTCTCTGTCTAACGCCATCTTTTCGCTGCCTTTCTTTAGTTTCAGAGCCTTTAAAAAAAAAAGGACAGGCATTAAATGGTTAACAACACACACAAACAAATGTCACACCTGACCGGTAAAAAGTGTGGGATTTTACCGTGGTTTTTAAACTTTTTAAACGCCCCATTATTTTTCCCAAATCACGATCAAATATAGTCTAACTAGCTTATATATTATATGATAATATCGCATGTCAAATAAACAGTTCAGTCGTGTAGCTGAGAGGTGGATCTCCCCTGCCTCACCAAAAGAGGGCGACAAAGCCTCACATTTCACACTGAAATGCAACGCTCACCACGCAAACACAGCTAAATCAAACCTTGACATTCGTGTTCCCGAGGAAATCCCGTTTTACTCGTAAAATCAGCATGTGCAATACTAATATGCATATTAAAATAATTTATTCGTTTGTTTATTTATTTAAACAAGTGGGACACTGAGTAATTCATGAAAGTTGTGTTCTTTGAGGTTTGAGTTGTTTGTTGTAAATCGAGTAAAACCATCAATTTTCTATTATAGGGGATATTTATGTGTTTAAATACCTCGTTTTATCATCAGACGTTTCCCTGGTTTCAGATTAACAAAAAAAGACAGGATTCTTCTGTTGAAGAATAATAAACGTTTATTTAACGTCTCTTAATGTTTTATTGACGTTAGACTCATGGGTCCAATAAAGCCTGTATTTTGCATCTACCATATTTTATTTGTGTTGGTCATATTTTGAGCCTGTGTAAAGAATTTAATTGGAGCTCACTTTCAACGACAATAAGACTCTTATATTGTTTTATAATGCATCTCTGTTGATATTTACCAAACCAATGCAGACCTCCGTCATGCAGCGTTTTCTCAGTACAGATTGTGCCATAGCAGCTGCTATATGATATGATATGGGAGTTTATTTTGAAACTGGGCATCCCCTATATGGCCGAGACACCATTTAGAAAATGGATGACTGCATGTCTGATATTTTAGAAATATGATTTGAATGTATTTGATTTTGCAGCAGCATGCAGGCTTCTCCATGTCCTGAGAGATCCGAGTCTGAGCTGAGAGGCAGAGCTCTGTGTTCAGTGTCAGGTGTCTTCATCGAAGAAACACACAGCATATAAGGACAAGCAATGAACATGTAGACCTGAGGACAGTTACATACTTCACCCTTATGTTAAGATTGTCTTAAGAAGTAGTTTGACCCCTATCAGTTAGACATAAGAGGTTACTTTTCTGATTTAAATGAGACCAATCTACCTTTTATGTAACTGACGTTGCTTTATAAAGTTAGGACCAGTCTTGAGGAAAACAATTTGATGACTAACTTTTAAGCAGTTTATGCAAGATGCCACTGGCTTTTTAATATACTTTTTATACTATCTTGTGATTTTAGATTTGAGATTACACCTAAATTACAAGCCAGTCTTTGGACATTTCATGCTAATCATCTTGTGGGCACCTATAGAAGTTATAAACTGCACTTCCACTGCATTGACATATGACCATAAAACTTAGTATACAGATATCTGGCCTTGTGAAAAAGATGCACTTATTTAAAAAAAAAGAAAAAAAAGATCATATAATATTACTGAAATACCACTAAGTGT